GATTTTTTCGAAGAAAGTTTTCGCTTTTTTACCCCTTTTTAAAATAAAATAATAGAAAGATAAGGAATTTAAAGAAAAACCTACGTAAAGGAACTTATTTAGGTTATAAAAAATAAGAGTTTAGAAAGGAATATTTAGTATAAATAATTTACTAAATATTTATAAAAGAAGGTTACCCCCCTACTTTCTTTCCCCACTTACTACTCTTCCTTTTTTATTATTATTATTATAACGATTTTTGAAAGTAAACTCTTCCCTTATTAGAAATTTTTTAACTTTTATATTAGGACTAGATTAATTTATTATAAGCGTACTTTTTAATCCGCTCTTCCTTCCTACTATTATTATTAACCTCCCTTTAAATATTATTCGGAGTATTTACAATAATTTAGGGGTATAGAATAAATACGTAATAGAATAGTTTAATATTAAAATTGAATTTAAAAAAGTTTATTTATTCTATTATAATTAATTGAAACCTTTCAATAAAGTAACAGATTGGAAATTCTTTCAGTTAGACTTAAAGACTAATATTATTGATAGGGATAAATCCGCTCCGTTCGATATTAATATAGATTTAAAAGATTAAGAAATTATAGAAATTATAACCGGAGAAGATCCTCCGTTCCCGCCTCTATATTAACCTAATAAAATAATTTATAATACTATATTTTAGGAGATTATAATTTTAAACTTTATTAATATATAATATTATATTTCTTTCCCTTTTAATATTACGTATATTAATAATAATAACGAATTACCCGGTATAGAATCGACTTATAAATATTAATTAGGAAAAACGCAGTAATAATATTTCCTAATTTATTACTAATACTATTTCGTCTTCGTGATTTTCTATTAAAGAGAATTTAAATAATTCTATTTTAATTTGGCCCCAGATACCGACTAAAATAAAGAATTCACAATAAAAAGAATTATACGGAATATTCTATTAGAAACTATATATATAAAGATAATAACGGAGAACGGATTAGTAATACAAATAATAAAATTTCTTAAATAAATATATTATTCCCCGAATAATATTTAATTTAAACGTACGGTCTTTAAATAATAGAAGTTACTAGGATATTTTTTATTGAGACTTCCTATAAGAATTTACTAATCAATAAATTGAGAGCCCCCTCTTAAATATTTATATATTAAGAGAATAGAATATATTAGAAATAGTAGATTTAGATTCACGACTCGATTTAGTTAGAAAAAATAATAATTAGATAATAGATAAGGATAGCTTATAATATTATATTAATTACTTAATAAAGAGGTATAGCGATATTGAAAGTTGAGAAAGAATTAATTTACTATTATATTTAATTTAATAATAAATAGTTAATTAATGAAATTCCTATTTATTTTAGGAGGTTAAAATAACCGAATAAGTATAATAAAGTAGGTTAATAAATCGGTTCTAAAGAGTAGTACGATACCGATTTCCTATATAATTTCCCGCCTTAGTCTAAAGTAAGCTTTCGGATTTAGTAATAAATAAAAAGGAAAAATAAGAAGGCGAAAAGAATTATTAATTTACCTGGCTAAAATTTTTAATCCGCCTTAATTAATAATAGAATAATTAATCTATATTTCGAAGGTATTAAATTAATAATTCTTTTAATACTCTTGAAGACGAAGGAAGTTTTAATTACCTTTTAAATAAAGAGCAAAAAAAGGGTTCGTCGGAAGCGGTTAAATATAAAGGTTGAATATAATATAAAAGACCGGGTAATAATTAATAATTTTTATTTACCTACTAAAATTATAGTAAATACCGAATTTTTAGAGGGTAAGACCGTTCTTAAAGAGATAAGGGTTATAAATATAGAATTTAAATATTACCCTTCCTTTAGAGATTTAATTTATTAGGATATATTATTACTTTGTTAAATTAATTTAATATTCGTTAGGGACGTTACAGCGGCGGATTGGTACGTAATTAATAGGGAAAAAAAGAAGCGGGTTTTAAAGAAGAAGGCCGATAAGAGAAAAGTAAGGTAATAGGAGAGACGAGCTAAAAAAATAGAATAAAGAAGAAATAGAAATTAAAGAATGGATTTTTAAATATAGTAGTAAAAAGGAAGTTATATTATTTTTCTTTATAATAATTTTTTAAAGTTAATGTCTTAATTTTTAATAAGTCTATTAAGAGGATTTATAGGTAAATTTAAAGGGAAGTTTGATTTGGGGAATTTTTTCTAGTTTTTTAATATAAATTAAAAGGGTTATTAAAAGTAAAGTAATTCGGATAAGGAAAAATAGATTTATTGGACCGTCTCTTCCGAATTCCGAAGGTAAGTAATTATAATAGAGATTTGTAGGGATAAAAAGGGTAGTATTCTTCCTTAAAACGAGAGGGAAAGAAATAGGTAATTTAAATTAAATATTATTTTAATTAGTAGAATATATTTGAACTTCGTTCCTAAAAAATTTGACCGTTAAATTTACTCGTAATCCCCTCCCTAAGAATTTAACCTCTAGATCTACTCCCAACTCTAGGGCAATTAATTTAGGGGTAAAGCTTTGCTTCCCCCTCCTTCCTTTAGTAGTTAATAGCTACGGTTTAAAGGCTTTATTCTAGCATCCTCGCGAAATTATTCCTAACCTTCAAATTAGTACCTTACTTCAAGGTTTGGGGTAGGCTATACTTTTCTATAGTAATATATTTTTGCTCCATTTCATTAGTAAAGGCGGTCGGGAAACCCGGGCCGTTCGAGATAGATATAGTGCCGGCCGTAAGACGGTTATTCCGATATTAAGCGGGCGAAGTACCGGCGTCAACGGCGCTAGGAAAAGTTATAAATATTGTATTAAAAGGTTTTAAATCCCTAGAAGGGAACGGTTTATTATATTTTTAGACCCCGAGGGCATTTTTAGCCCGGGGAAGTATTATAGGGCTAACTTATAATTATTATTTAATCGCGGTATTACTACGGTAATAATTGCCAGGTTAATATATACTTTCTAATTAGCTATATTATTACAGCTAATATCGTACTACCTTGGTACCGAGGTGGTAAGTAGGTTAGTTACGTATACGTACTATGAATTTACCGTTGGGTTTATCCCTTACGAGCTACGTATACATTCTATAGCTTCCTTTCTTCCTTGTGCAAATACACAAGTCTTAGTCTACCCCCAACGTTTAGTATCGCCTTGCCCCGTAATACTTACCTCAAAAACGAGCTTACTTTCAAATACAATTCGACTAGCAATTTCTAGGCTTAGTATATAATCCTTCGATTAGTAATACAGAACCAGTTTAAGAAGCTATTAAATTAGCTACGAGAGAAGCAAAATTCGTTTTCATAGGCTTCCTCCGGGTAAATCTGTTTAAAAAGCAATATAGAATATCGGCGAAACCAAACTATCATAACTAAACCATTCTCTTAGCGCGTAAGCCAGAACTTTTCATATAATTAATACTCTATTTCTAATTACTTCGCTATACTCTCGCGTACTAAATTAAAAAGGATGAAAGCCCTCAATTTCCACCAGCGGTTAATATTCAATTCGGAGATATTATAAAACTTGGCCACCTTATAGTTATAAATATCGTAAAAACCTTCGATAGGGTAAACATCGTCAAATCCTCTTACTCCTCTACGTCGTCGTTGTAGAAGTCCAACGTAGACCCCGTTAAAGGGTACCTTAATTTATACCATATAAATAATAACCTATATCCCGCTAACAATTAATTCGCTAATCGAATAATCTATATCGTATTCGCTTTCTTACCTAAATCTTGAACTCCCGGGAATAACTTTGCTCTTTCTTCTTAACAAGGGCCTTTCGTTTAATAACTCTAATATCGTATTACTTAAGCTTAGGACCAAGCCTCTAATTAACGCGTTCCTCCTATAAGGAACGTAGCAAGGGTACTAAAGCCACCACTAGCAAGGGTCTCGGTCTCTAATCCATAGCAACAACGATAGCGAAAACCTCAACACCAATAACGACGACAATAAACTCTACAGAGGAGGAAGCGGGGGATTCAAGGCACGAGAGTTAGGGCACAAGAATCAGGGCACGAAAATTAGGGCACTACAGTCTAGGACTGGAGGGTAGGGCGCCAAACTTTCCCCTCCTTCACAGAGGGTACGGTTGGCACATATACTATAATATATACTTAAATCTGTACAGATATGTACCTGAAAAGCAGTTTCCCGAAAGTCAATTTCCAGAGATTATACGGTACATTAGAAAGTATAAAGCAATACAAGATTATTATACAAGAGTAAGTACTGTTTCTGGTTGATGATGGGGTTGAGAGTCTTCGGTAATGTGTTAGACGAGACCCAAGTGAGCGAGACTGGAAAAAGGGGTGATCAGAGAACAAGCCTGCACTAACAGTCTTGTATTAGTTCATGGTGTGTCCGTGTTAACAGATCTGGGAACCGCTAACAGGAGTTCGTATCACAAATTATTAGCGATGAACTGGCTATACTCGTTTTTAACTGCACATGTTCCAACACTCGAAGTTCAATCAATCATTCCATAATGTACCTATGTTACAAGACTAACTAGCAACTGTTGACGTTTTCATTATGGGGTTGAAAGCCGAATGAATGACAGAAATACCCTCTAAAACGCCGACTTATGCCTCCTACCCTGGGTATTAGTAGGTAGTTTGCTCATCTTCAACTGCAAGTGACCCGAAACCCCGAGTCCAACGACTATCTATGTTACAAGAATCAACAACGATTGACATTGCTGTTCATGAGGTCCAAAGCTAAGTAAATGCTGCAAATAACCTCTAAACTCCGACCATGCCTGTTACCCTGGGTAGGTATATGAAGCAGTATGATAATGCCCCTGCTCTTGCCCTTTAGACCCTTCCTCACTTTGGAAGAACCCGCAATGCTTGCTCTGTCTTTCCAGCCAATAATGCACATGCAATAATAGTACAGCTCATAATACAGTTCCATGGTCCATCCATCGCCGGGAACTTCCATCATCTGCAAATAAACGCAAACGTACGCTCACGCAAGGCTCATACGATGTTGATACCGTCCCTTCCTGACCTCGTGGTCTGCGTTAACTCCGCGAACAGTACCATGTCGCTCAAGTCGATGGCCATACGAACTCGGCTCCAAGCTGTCAACTTTCATACTGGCTGATCTTCCGTGGGTAAACACTCTTCTCGGCACCTGAAGCAGTGACCGCTCCGTTTTCGAGGGCCGAACCTCACTTTGAGGTTGTCCAAGGTCCACATTGAGGCCAGTCGTGATGATACCTCCGCTAGAACCAGAAGGCAAGGACCCCATGCTCCGGCGACTCCCAAACAAACTCCTGCCAAAGACACTGTTTCTGAAGCTACGCGGGTCATGCATGGTACCACCCTTTGGGAGCAGCACCTCTCGCTGTGTCTTTCTCGCATAGTCCTGTTGCCAAGCATACAGCGAGTTGCGTGCCTCATCGGTGAGACAGCATGCCTCGAGGTGAAGGAAGACGCGACGACATCTGTTGTCGTCATCCGTAAGAGCAGTCGCATCCGCAACCGTTACTCTTCGAAGCATGGCTTCCCTTTCCTTCTGTGCCTTGGCCTGGGATTCGCTCATAATCCTGTTCGGGCGGTCGGTGTTCTTCATTCTGAAGTTCGTCGACGGATAGTTGTTATTATTGTGGCTGGTTGGTGGGCGAATGTAAATGATACCCGAAGATTCAGAGACTGGAAGTTCTGGCAGGGGGCGTCGGGGTAGGACCCTTGAAGATTCGGATACGGGAGGTTCCGGCAGAGGCCGCCGGGGAAGAATCCTTGAAGATTCAGACCTGGGGATGACGCGAGTAGGTATCATTGAAGGAGAAGAAGCCTTTGGATGGGATATCTCCTCGTGCTGCACTGTCTTGTATACTGCAGGATTCCGTTCACTGACGTAGGTGCTAGACTTTCTTGAGGTCTGCAGGATAGCATCGGTGGTGGCTGAATGGGGTATGCATCTTATATAGTGAGGTATGTGTCTATGATCAGTCGTCTTAAGTCCGAGTTGGTCGGCATTTGAGTGCCTCTTTGCAGGTGTGTAGCTGTTGAGATCGCGGGTGGGCACGATCCGGCTAGAAGCGTATACGGAGGTAGAAGGATTATTGAATGCCGATGCTGTAGGGGGCACGGGGGTTGATGTCGAGTTGTTCAGATCACTAGAGATCGTGGAACAGAATGTATGTGCCTCAATAATCAGATTGAGATTACGAGGTGTTAGTAACTCGCTGTGGAACCGGTCATGGAGAGACGAAAAGCGCCCAGCCCAATACGCCGAAGACATTGCCGTTGAAACAAACCGGGGATTGTTCGGAAGCGGTGTCGGTGCTTCTTCACGTGTCGGAGTAGGCTCCGGAGCTTCGGTTGAAGGGTCCACGTCGTGGTCCATTGCTTTTCTACCAAAGCGAGAGGATAGTGAGGAGCGGGAACTCTTTGCTGTTGCAGTTGATGACGGGTTCTGCAGATCCTGGGAACTTGTCGTTGAATGACTGAGTAACGAACTGCGAGAGAAGGTATGGGTAAGATTAGACAAAACGTTGAAAGTCCGTGATTTGGGTATGCCTTGCTTTGTTGATGTTGGAACAATGCTTTCTTCCTGAATCCGCTCAGGTGGCTTGTTCTCGTTGTTCTGTTGCTTCACCCGGCCTGTGAAAGACGGGATACCTGTGGTACATCCCACATTGCTATCGTCGTCAGACGAGTGAACCACACCCTTTGTCCTCAGTGGCTGTCCGTCATGGAGAACTGGCCCGGACGTGTCGCTGGTATCAGCCTTTACAGTTGATGACGGCCGTTCTCCTTTGGCTGGTCTGTAAAGTGACCAGCGGGACCCTCGTCTCTTCGGAGTGCTGCTTTGGATGTTTTGCTCCATATCAGCAGTTGTAGAGCCCAAGTAAGACCCTTGATGCATTGGATCTTTGCTATGAGGGTCAGTTTCTTTGTGATGAGGAGCAGTGTGTTGTGGCACTGGCTTGCGAACAAGAGCCAAAGTTTGGCAACCTCAAACAAAGCGCAAAGAACTAACAGGCCCGTGCGCTTCACAAAGGAAAGAGGTACCAAGATTGAGAAGAGCGCAAGACGAGATGTTCCCCTAACGACGGTGCTGAACGTGAGAAGTAGGACCCGAATAATTTCGACGATTGATGTTTCGTTACAGTGGTCGTCGTCGTTGTGGATGCTGTTGACGTGGATGTTGTCACCTTGAGACTTTGGTATGGAAGGTTGAGAATCTTCGCTGTGTCGTACAGTCTCTTCGTCTGAGGACCTAGGATGGTCCTTCTCTGCAGGCTTGTCGTCCTCAAGTTGTGCGAGGCAATCCTCTGCCTTGGCGACAACGGAACCACGATGGATAGGGGGAGGTGTTGTTGACGAGGGCGGCTCCTTGAGCTTTATCGAGGCGCAATATGCTTTGCCGCGGGCGTTGGCTATGGTCTCAAAGTCGGGTGGGGGATTATTTGAAGACCAGACAAAGTAAGTGTCTGCTTTCGCCTTGGGAATCTTGAATTTGACCCCGCCTTTTGCTGGGGAGCACGAGCAGGTGTTATCACCCAAGAGGGCCAACTCCGTGCCGTCTGACTTCTCGCCGTCCGACTCCTCGAGAAGAGTGTTCGCCTTGGAAGGCGACACGAGGAAGGGTGAAGCGTAGCGTAGTGGGGTGTCAGGCTCAATCTCCCCGGAGCCGGCTGATAGTCTCCTGCTCATGACGGCCAGGTTAGCGAAGGAGAACTGACAAGGACGTGAACGGCAACTTTTCTGGAGTCCCTCGATGTTGGGTAGTGTGTTGTCCAAGTGAAGTTTGGGAGGAAGATCCAGACAAGGTGATCAAGTCCCGAGTTGATGATCGAGAACAAGGAAGCAGATCAAGGGAGCGAAGGTATCCCAGTAAGCGACAAGGGAGGGGTCGAGTTAATATTCCTTGTGTAGAACGCACCTTCTTTGCCGCTTGAACAGCAATGATATTGTCTCCAGGCACGAGTCGCGATCCAAGTTGAAGTCGTAAAGCGAAGGTCGTGAGTGCAGAGTGATTGTTGTTGAGGAGGGGAAAGGAAAGCTGCAGGATAGTTGCGAGCCTGTCGTTCGAGAAAGCGGGGGAAGGAAGGGTAAACGGCGGAGGCAGAGAGTGAAAGGTGGAAGTCAACACAGAATCTCGAAGAAGTCGAGGGCCGGTGCCGGTGGCAGTGAATGGTATAGTTGCACCTGACAGAATTTTAGTTGACGCGCCATGACCAGACGGCAGCGATACGCGCAAGCCTGGGACTCTGGAACCTGGACTCGTTGCTTGGGACGAAAAGAGCTGAGTGACCGGATATATAAAAAGGGAAGGCACGACCAGTAGACCTGGGCTCTCCACCTCAGTCGAGTTCGGATTTGGAAGCGTATCTTATCTGTTGGGAGTTTTTGGCAGGAGCAAGAGCGAAATCGCTTGAGTCGCGGTTTGGTGTTTGTTGTGCCTTCCCTTCCAGTGTCGCACACACAGCCGCCATGGTCTGCCCGGCGAGAAATCCAAAACAAAACAAACAGCAACGATAAAGCAGAAGGTAAACTGGGATATCACGCTAACCCATCCATATCCTGAACAAAAGTTTGAGACAAATGTTGAGGCTGGTGAGAGCCACGTAAAGTAACTTGAAATCCATTCTTCCAACCAGAATGCAACTGAACAACCGCTATTCGAGTCCAGTGACCACGGTATCGAAAGAAACACCACCCCCATTGCTAATAGATATTTCCCCTCCTTGATATTGGACTACAACACACGCTTGCGCCTAATTCCTGATCTCTAGTTCGCCATCCACTGCTTCTTCCCACCCTTCAATCTTGAACTTGAATGTTTCGTCCCCGGAGCCTCGAGGGATCGGGTTGCCATGGGCATCGAACAACGCGCGTTCCCTGTACGTCACGTTTCCATCCCAATCCACGAGGATGATGGTCTGCCGCTGCGTACCGTAGAGGCCAGTCTGGAAACCGTTCGGCTGGTTGTCTGGGCGGTTGACCGTCGTCAACGCCTCTGATGCACCGTCATGAGGGCCCTTCTCCTTGATGGTCCCCCGTTGACGGGCTGCCTCCATCTCCGCTTGGTGCTGCTTGTCGCCAAATGCTGGGATAAAAATGGAATCCTTGAGTAGCGGGATGCCCTCCTCGAGGTCGATACAGCGGTCCGCAGGGAAGTTGGTAGCATCCAAGACCTTGCAGAGTTCTTCCACCAACACATCCTCGCTGACGTCGTCGTTGGAAGTAGCTTCGATAACTTGCTTCAGCTTCTCCCTCCCGTCCCGGACCTTGGGCCATGTCAGCTCGTCAGCCTCCTCGCTCGGGTTAAGGTAGATGGCGTTGCTGAGTCCGTATGTGCGGTCCCGGTCTCCGCAGATCCATGGAACTCTGTCGATATGCTCGGCTCTGTTGGAGATGATTGCCAATGGCTCGATCGCCTTCTCGACCTTCTTCTTTCGTAGCTTGCCGCAAACGAGGGAGAACCCGCCAATATCCCTAGCCTCGCCGCTCCCAACCATCCGACTGACAAATTCCTGCACCGGCTCATCGGGATGGGCCGCTAGCCAGGCAGTTACCATGCCACCGCGGCTGCGCTTTGCAGCTATGGGATGTGCCGCGTCGTGAGTGTTGGTTTCGCGGTAGTTGGTGAGCACAGCGATGTTGCCGCCCTTGGTCATGCCAAGCCATGTTCCATGCTCAGCCCGTGCCAAATCCCGGCTGGAGATGACCTCGACTTTTCGGCAGTCGTACACATGCTTGTCAGTAGAGGGCGACTCTGACAGTGCCGTCCACCAGTGAGGTTTGCTTGTTGGCCGAAGGATGTATTCATCTCGGTTGTCGATGACAATGAGCGCATATTTTGGGTGCGCGGTCGTGAGTAGAACGATACACATTTTTGGCGGATTTTTTTTTGGGGATTTTTTGATAAGATCGATCGCTTTCTCGGGAACTTTAGGTTGAGATGATGATGTGGGTTGACTAAAAGCGAGCTATAGCTGGGTTGCTGGGGCGAGCTCCCGGACGATGACGATTGTTTTGATATTCGATTTCGGACGAATGTACAAGGTTGTGCCTTTCAAGAGTGACCGGGAACACTTGACCAAAAATGCGGTCGGCTGGTCTTTGGTATTTATAGATGACCTCGGAATATCTAGGGGCACGGTTGGAGGCAGTGAGCAACACGACCAACACTTGTGGTTGTGGTTAACCGTTTGGTTGAAGAATCGGATCTGACTTCTTCCCAGGCCAAGCCGCCATGTGTCAATCTACTGTAGGGGACGCCTGATAACAAATTGGCAACTGCAGGAACGACAGGGCAAAAGATACTATGGAATGGGCTGGACGAAGGGCAAAAGGGCAGTGCTCTACACTACGACCCTATGTTTTCATAGAAAAGGAGGAACGATATCATTCTGGATGTTCTGGGCATTGGTGATGGCCTGTCAAACGGCCGGTGATGACATGCTAAAGTCAGGCCACCAAGTATATCATGCACTTCATGCGGCTGCCAAAGTTTAGCCTCGGTTTGCCCGCTTCTGCATGTGTAAGATGTAGATCATCTTGATCTTGGTATTTGGGAATGGTTGCAACTCTCTGAAAGGGGAAGATTACTGATATACGGCGCAGTAGTCTCCATGCCGTTCGTATTGGCCGAAGGATGCCCCAACGGTGAGATATGGGTGCGGCAAATGGCGGCAAGGATGGGGAGGATATTGAAAAGAAACAAACACTTCAACGGTACAGTTAGTAAAGTCAAGAAGGGATCTTGAGAGGTGATGCCATAGAGCCCCGCAAGCTGGACTGTTGGAGTCATCCTCTGCTATGGATCCCGATTCCCGGATCTTGGAACAGGAGCTGTCACAGTCCCCTCAAATTGGTGAGCATTCTCTGCCAGAACTGAATATGTCATTCATACAAGTTTGCTTCACCTGGAGGGAAGAAGGCAAAGAGGTATCACCTTGCGTGGCACCGTGGCCCCCAAATTGAAGGAACTGACTGTTGCTGTTGGTGAGACTCCAACGAACGGGAACCTCCCCGCCGGAGAATCCCACGACGGTCTGGACGGATCAAGCCAAGATCACCTCGGTCAATTCCTTCAGCAGCACGAGCCACGGACATGGCGACTGAACGTAGCAGCACAGCTGGCACTTGCCAGGTGCCACCCCACTTTTCACAGGCGGTCCAGGTCCCCCACCTTCAGTGGCGTCGTCTTGGCAGTTGGCTTAGGGCACACACCATCAACGACCAGCCAGTGGACTGCCGACAATATTGTGGGGTAAATATTTGCTAGGGACAGCCCAGTCGAGTCGCGTGCCCGCGGAGAATTTGTGTGTGGACCTGAACGCAAAGAGCACAAATGCTACGAAGGACGGCAAGTGTGACTCTTCTGTGTTCCTCGCAGCGTGTGCTGACCAATGCCCTTGCTCTGCCCCTGATTGAGCTCTGGGATGTCGTGTAAGTCAAAAACCAGCCCGAGTAGGTACATAGCTGGAGACAATGACGACTTGCTCAGGTCAAAGACTTTCAAGGAGAACTTGTGACGGGAGTTTCGGAGCCAGCTCAACCGAAGTAACGAGATGTTGTCCGAAACGCCAAGACTTTCTTCTATCCTGGCAGCGCTCTTGCCTGTGTAGCCACCAAATCTGGGGTTGAGTTGCGATGTGTCAGATTCTAGGGTGGTATTCTAGCCAGATGTGGGCTAGATGCCAGAGTCCCAGCCACCTGATTTAACAGGTCTTGGCAAATATAGGATATTCCCAGACCCCCAGACCTTTTAGAGAGAGAGCGCTCGAATCAGTTATATAAATTCAATTAATTACACTAGTAAATCTAATAATTAACAATCTAATATATAACCTATCAATACAACGATTAGCACGTACGAATAATAAATAATAACCGGATTATAATATCTCTCTTAAAGCCTACCGAGATAAAAGAAAACGTTGCTTACTTTAAAGACGACGACCATTAGTCGCGATAGGAACCTATGTTCTAATCGAAATATATCCTTAATATTTTTAAAGATTAGCTTTAAGGAAAGACTAGGAAACTATCCGCCCCAAAATAGCCTTATCCTAATTATTACCCTATAATAAAGGAAGTTAGAACCCGTATTAATAATACTAAAGCGGAATTTATACGTTTCGATAGCGGTATTAATTCCTAAACCGTTATTTATTAAGACGGGATAAATTATAAAAAACCTATTAAATACTATAACCGAAACGAAATTATAGTCGATACTTTTATTACTGAGGACGACCTTATTAATAAGTAACTATAAATTAGAAATCAATCTCTATCCCAATAATAAAAAAAAATTAGAAGGAGTTCGTAGCTAGTAGTAAAGCCCTATATATTTAAATAAAATCGTTAATTAACTACAAATTATAAAATAGAATCATAAAGGAGGAATATAATATTAACGAATAGTATTGAAATTTTAAATAAATAACGAATTATAAAGCGGTCAACGATTAAATTAAAGTAAGAAAAATATACTGTAAGGCTATTACTATTTTTACGAAAGAATTTAAGAATTAAATTAATTAGTTATAGATTTAATTTCCTACTATAAATAATAGTTAGAATAAGGGAATTGGGGAGATTTTCGTCGTTAATTTATAGTATTCTAATTTTATTAATATAATTAAAATTGTTCGCCTAGGGTAGTATAATAGCGCTAAGAGATTTAATAAAGAAATAGCTGCTAATACCTTTAAATATATAGCAATTTATAAATATTTTAAACGGTATAGTATTAATAACGTTCGTCGTAAAATCGCCGCCAGAAGAAGAAGAGTTTGTTATAGTACTTTTAGTATTGGTAAGATTAGTATTGAATATAATAATTAAAAATATAATGGTGAAAGTTATAATGCTAGAAATAAAGATGTTCTTTACGATGGTAAGAATAAGAAGTTAAAGGGTTTTAGTATTAAAAAGAGAAAACTCCCGTTGGATAAATCCGAAATTTAATTATATAAAAAGAGTAACGGTATAATAAATAAAGTATACGAAAGAGGTCATTATTTTTTTTAATAATTATTAATATATTAATTTAAATACGAAGCTTCTGTATTTTAGGTTATACCCTTCTATTAAATGCGTTATTAAAGCTAATTTTACGAAAGATCTAAAATTCCCTAAGAAAATAATTACATTCTTTAAAAAGGAGGAGAAAATTAAAAAGGAAAAATTAGCGTAATTATTGAATCGGACGTATAAAGTAACCTTCTAAATTAATAGGGTATTTAAAATTAGAAACGAAATTTATCTTTTTAAGAATTTAATAATATTCGATTTAAGTAATTCGCTTTACGTATTTAATAAAATCATTTATTTCTTTTATTTTCGTTATATTAATCTAGATAATTCTTTATAGGTTAGTAATATTTAAATAGAAATTAAAGGGTTTAAAGAGGTCGATATTATTATTAAGGGTAAAAACGGTCCCTTAAAGCTACGGTTGAAGGAGGTCGCCTTCTACCTTAATTTTACTACTAATTTCGTTTCCTATTTCAAATTACGAAAGTAGGGTTTCTATTAGGACTATCGACTACCAAATAATTATTTAAAGAAAGTTAACGGTTTATTTTTTTATTATTTGGATATTATCTATAGTTAAACGGTTATTAAAACTATCCTCCTTTTATTTATTAAAATTTCGTTCGTAGCGCGCCGTTATTAAATTAATTTATATATACGACGATTTTCAAAATAATTAGCAGAAATATAATATTAATAGTTCAGCTACCTAAATCCCTAAATATTCGATTATCTATAGAACGTTGATAAAATACAATTACGTAATATACTTTTAATTAAATATAATACATATAGTATAGTAAAGATAAAATAATAAGTTAATTACGTTTCGAAAAATCGAAGTTATGGCCTAGGGGAAAGATTCGCCATCGATTTCCTCGATTTTAAATTAGGATTCAAAAAAGTTATACTACTTTCTTCTAATTACCTATTAATGGTTAGGACTAATTTAGAATTATTACTTATCGAACTGAGAAATTATTACAATAGTTAATATTTTAGTTAACTATATCTAAATATTTAAATATTAATATAATACTAATATTAAAACTATTGAGTATAATATTGAATTTATAAGTAATAAGATTAAGGATAAATTCGCCCAGTATAATACGGTTTTTAAACTTTCTATGCCTAATATTTAAATATAAAATAGAGGGGTAGAACGTTTAGGGGATATAATTAAAGAGAGATACTATACAATATTATTAAATTCGAAAATATTAGAAGATTTATAACTAAAGATTATTTGTGCGGCCGTTTATTTTATTAATTATTCCCTTTATTATTTATGTAATTGGAAATCCCCTTTCGAACGATTTTATACCTATATTACAAACTAATACGGTTAGTACAAATTACGTAAATTAAATTTAAACTACTTTTGAATTTATAAGTATAAGGTACTTACTATAATAAGCGCCATTTAAAGGAAGGAATAAAGATTTTAAAAGTATAATTTAAAGGTTTAAATCGGGTATTTTATTAATTATTTAGCGACTTCTATCTATTATATATAGAATCCTTATATAAATTAAATCGTTTAAATTAGAAACGTAATATTCGACGAAGATATTATTGATTATTTAAACATTAACAAATTTAAAAACGATTTTAAAATTATTAGCGAAGAATTTACTAACTTACTTAACAAGATAGACGAATTCGCTAACTAACCTTCGAAAGTATTTGAACTATCCTATATTGAAAGTTATACGTTATTAAACGACGTTAATAATAGTAATATTAAACTTCTCCTATCAAATCTCCTTAATTAAAATTAGGAAGATTATTAAAGAATTTACGAAGTCTCTTAAAATAAGAATAATTAATTATAAGAAGTATTAATTTAATAATCTATTAATAATAAAATATTTATTAAATATATTATAAGTTTATACCTGTTGCTTCTATTTACCCCGCTAGTCGTACTTTATATTAGTTATTTTATCGACTGAGCTATCGATTAGTACGTTCGTTATTAAGAATTATAGGAAGCCGCTTTTAACGTTAGTAAATTAGTTTAATTAGTAGTTAAAATAAACGAGAAAATAATTATTAAGGCGGAAGTTGAACGGTTAATTATAAAATACAGTCGTTTTAATAGGGTATACTGACGTAATCTCCCTTTAATATTTAAAAAGTACTACAATTTAAATAACTACTTACTTGGTTAATAGTTTAAGAAAGTAGAAGAAGCTTACTTTAAGAATCATAAAGATATAAAGATGTAGATTAAAGTAAATAAGGATATCTCCTATTTTAAACATAAGTAAATTTTCGATTATATATAGGTTTATATTTATAAGTTTAATAAGAACGGGATATTTAATAAAGTAAAAGCGAGGTTCGTCATAAGAGGTAATTAGTAGAAAAGAATAGGAATTAATATATATACGTTTACTCTTACGGGTCGATTATTTCGTATTATTATCGTTCTCGTTATTCGTTTTAATTTTAAATTTATTTAATATAATATAGTTAATACTTTCGTAAATACTTACCTCGATAAGAAAATCTATATACGTATACCGCTAGGGTATCGAATACCCGGGAAAGTTTTTAAATTTATTAAGGCCCTATACGGTTTCCGACGATGTTTTTTATTATAATAACGAAAATTGAGCAGAGTATTTAAATCGATAGGATTTGAAACAATCCTTAAAAACCCGTATATTATAAAGAAAAATAGTATTCTTATATTATATCGATAATATCGTCTTTATGTTTAATAAAAGTAAAATAGAAGAAGTTAAAAAATATACAATAGAATTATAATTATAGTATTACTTAATAGGAGGACATAAACTCTAATAGTTTTTGGGTATTAAAATTATACGTAATTGAAATTAAGGAAAAATCTAATTGTTTTAAGAAGTATATATTAATAAAATTACTAAACTATTCAAATCCAACTACTATCTAACCTTAGTACTTGTAGGGTATAAAGAATTAGTTCCTTATAAAGGTATTATTAGTTACCTAGAGATACAAGCGTACTAAATTAATATAAGTTCTTTATTATACGTAATAATTAATATTCAATTAAATATTACATTTTCATTAAGTAAATTAATTAAATATAATTACAATTTTAGTTGTACTTATTTGGTGGCGAGCGAGAAGGTTATACAATATTTAAGAATAATAAAAATATAGGTACTCTATTTTAGCGGGAATAATAGATTCGAAATTACCTTTAACGCCTCGTTTACTAATAATAAAAATGACCGTAAGAGCTTCTAAAGATTTACAATTAAATTATATAGTAATTTAATTCATTAGGGAATAAATAAATAGATTATAATTACTATATTAATAATAGAAGTAGAATTATACGTAATTGAGAAGGTAGTTAAAGAGACTTTCTTTATAAACCGATTAATATCGGTATTGGGGGTAAATTTATTAGAAGATCCTATTCCTATTCCATATTATAATAATTAGTAAATTATTCGGGTATTTATAGAGGAAACGGCTACTTTTAATATAAAGATGAAGTACGTAGATATTTAAAGATATTAGTTAAGGGGAAATAGTTTCGAAAAAAAAAACTTTCAATATTGAATATTTAGAAATAAAATTAATGCTAATAGATAGATTAATGAAGGAATTAGATATTTTAGAATATAGGAGATTTAGGGAGTTGCTAGGGATAGTTGAGGTACTACCGCGGAAAGCTAGCGGAGGAGGAGGTAATCTAATATTAGGAGAGGTAGATTTCAATAATCTAAATAAAATACTAGGATTAGAGATATAAAACGACGAGAGTAATATATAAATAACTTTACTTTTAACTTCAAAAAAGTAAAAGAAGTCTATAAGTAAGGGGGTGTATTAGATTCTAAGGTAGTATTCTAGCCAAATGTAGGCTAGATGTCAAAGTCCTAGCCACCTAATTTAATAGGTCTTGGCAAATATGGGATACCCCTAGACCCCCAAACCTTCTAGAGAGAGAGCGCTCGAATCAGTCACACAGATTCAATCAATCACACCAGTAAATCTGACACGATGCTCCAACAGTTTTGACTTATACAGCGACCGGGAGATGGGACAGGCGAATGGCAAGGCGCATTGGCTGAATGGGTAGCAATGTGCCAGCACTATATCCGGCCACGCTTATATGGTTTGAACACGTCTGCACGCGTTCTTGCTGCGGTTTGTGTCTCGAAGTGGGCTTTGTGTGTGGATTCGGTGGTGTCTCCCACTGGTTGATCGCTCCAGCCAGCGGAGCAACAAGACGGGATTCTGATGTGTGACGTGATGAGCCCTCGCCGTCTCAAAGCAGTACGCCAATCACAAGGGCCGATATTCGGGCGGTCAAGATTCAGGACTCGTTTAGGAAGATTTGGCCGCTGCCGTCTTTTGTGCCACTGCGGGGTCGGGGGGCCATACCCATACCGGTACATAGTACGTCGTAGTAGTGGCCTTTGCCGATTGCCCTGACCAAAAAAATCTCTTATTGACTCATATGAATTTAGTGCTGTCGTGAAGCCGCAAGGGTCCGCGAAAAGTTTAAAACCACAGCTATATCAGCGACATCGGGAAGCCATTCGCATTTCTCAATCTTTCCTCCTTTCAATTCTGCCAACACAGTCCTCCTCAGTCCCCTCTCTCTACAGACCAGACAACATGTGCGGAACCGATGCTCCCAACGGCGCCAATGGCGCCTCCAACGGCGTGAACGTACGTCGACCACGACTTCCCAATCCAATTATCCTCGAATTCGGTTTGCCCAAAATGCTAACTGCTTCCTACGGTTACAGCCCGCCAACTTCCGCTCCAACCCCTACCAGCCCGTCGGCGACTTCCTCTCCAATGTCGGCAGCTTCAAGATTATCGAGTCTACTCTCCGCGGTTCGTACCAGCACAATAAACACACTGCCTTTTCGACTTCATTCCGCTGACCCCAGAGCCAGAGGGTGAGCAATTCGCCAACGCCTACTTCGACACCGAGACCAAGATCAAGATGTTAGTTTTTTCCAGTCCCAGCCACAGACCCATCCCCATCCGCTTCCCCATCTGCGTTCCCCTTCCACTTCCGCAGCCTCCGAACCCGGAACTTGGAATTCCGAGCGAAAAGCGGATCTCATGCTGACTCCCCATTCGTTTAGTGCCAAGGGTAACCATGCCAAGCGCCCCGCTCCTTTTCCGTTTACAGACAACTGACCCCGGTATTCGAACACAGCCCTTGACGATTTTGGCGTCGATTACATCGAGTTGACCTCTCCCGCTGCCTCGGAGCAGTCTCGGTTGGATTGCGAGGCCATCTGCAAGCTCGGCCTCAAGGTGCGTCCCGATGGCATTGCCGGTCCAGAAGCTCACTAGGACCCTCGGCTAACCCGGGCTTCCACACACAGGCCAAGATCTTGACTCACGTCCGCTGTGATATGCGCGATGCCAAGCTCGCTGTTGAGACTGGTGTCGACGGCCTCGATGTCGTCATTGGCACTTCCAGCTTCCTCCGCGAGCACAGCCACGGCAAGGATATGGCCTACATTGAGAAGACCGCCGTTGAGGTTATCGAGTATGTCAAGTCCAAGGGACTTGAGGTTCGCTGTAAGTTTTACATGCCCGTTTCGCATACAGCCCAAAACACCCCTTGCCTCCACTAGCTGTTTCGGGCGAGACACTATTTGATACCGAAATCGGCCGTTTTCTCGGCACGGAATGCCCGGCCGCGCAAGGTGTCTACTGAGGATTGGCGGACGCCGGTTAGCGGGAAACGGGACTCCGTGCTATCTCCGGACACGGCGAATATTGACTTCTCCCAATCATTGCTCCAACACTATCTTGGTTGGAATTGCACGCTAACATGCGCAGTCTCCTCCGAGGATTCCTTCCGCTCCGATCTCGTCGATCTCCTTTCCCTCTACCGCGCTGTTGACAAGGTCGGCGTCCACCGTGTCGGTATCGCCGATACCGTCGGCTGCGCTTCTCCCCGCCAGGTCTATGACCTCGTCCGTACCCTTCGCGGCGTCGTTTCGTGCGATATCGAGACCCATTTCCACGACGACACTGGCTGCGCCATTGCCAACGCCTACTGCGCTCTCGAGGCTGGTGCCACCCACATCGACACCTCTGTTCTCGGTATCGGCGAGCGTAACGGTATCACCCCTCTCGGTGGCTTGATGGCTCGCATGATCGTCACCAGCCCCGACTACGTCAAGAGCAAGTACAAGCTCCACAAGCTCAAGGAGCTTGAGGATTTGGTCGCCGAGGCTGTTGAGATCAACACTCCCTTCAACAACCCCATCACTGGTTTCTGCGCCTTCACCCACAAGGCTGGTATCCACGCCAAGGCCATCCTCAACAACCCCAGCACCTACGAGATTCTCAACCCTGCCGACTTCGGTCTTACCCGCTACGTCCACTTCGCCTCGCGCTTGACTGGCTGGAACGCTGTCAAGACCCGTGTTGGCCAGCTTGGTCTCGAGATGACCGACGACCAGGTCAAGGAATGGTAAGTGCAATAATTCCATTCCAGCAAATTTTTGGGACTCAAAACTGACAATGACTCTACAGTACCGCCAAGATCAAGGCCCTTGCCGACGTGCGCCCCATCGCCATCGACGACGCCGATTCGATCATCCGTACCTTCCACCTCAACCTTCACGAACAGAACAAGATCCAGACTCCCGCTGTTGTCGAGAACTAAGCGGAAGCAGAGCGTTCGACTATCGAAGTTATCCTTTAGCATGACGGGGCATAAAACGGGATTTTTACGAGGAGCGATGCTGGCATTATGACGATTTTCTTTTTGTTGTTTGGGGTCATTTTTCACACATCCACCGGAGTTCTTTTGAGTACTATAATCTCCCTGTTTGGGGAGCAAAAAGGGGGTTGGTTGGGTTATATGGGGATGACTGAGCAGGCCAATATTGCCGACTGTTTTCCTAATCAGGGGGGAATGCTTGATGAAATATGAGCATGAGATAGACAAAATAAACGGGAGACGAAAGTAACAACGTCACCCAGTTGTCCTTCACTTCTATTCTCTACCAGTTATGATGACCAACGTGACTGGTGTTTCGCTGGATTTGTACGGGTAAGCGAATCGGGGGAGCCAGCAACGCCGACTTGGTGACATGGAGTGGTCATAGGAGTCACCCATGAAGTCGATACCGCTGCCCTCCCAGTTGGGGTATCCAAAGGGACCACAAAGGAGCCGGATCTGCCCGCTGTTAGTCCAGTCCCGAGAGAGTGGCTCGGGACTCGGATGACGGACGGGCACGGATTGCAACACCAATGACCGATATCACGGGTAGGGCCGCTCACAAAGCCCCCGCTGCTCTGTGCTAGGCAAGGAGGCAAGTGAGGAACATGTGGCGGACTCCACCAAGAGACCCGGCGCCCTGGTACAAACCCCTGGTCTGTCGTAGGCGCATGAGGTGATTCGAGACTCGGATGATGTTCCCTCTCACGCTGTTCGCTTAACGGCCTTGCCGTAGTCATCGGCGGGCACGGCGGCTAAGGTACCTCTAGTCAAGGCCGTTAATATCCGCAACTCCACCTTTCTGAGCTACCTACTGTCTATCGGCCACCAGAACGACTTTCGAAACACTACACTGTGCTATTTTACATGAACATCCACATGGCCATGTCGCTCTGGGTAATCTTGACAAGGTCGAAATCCCTTCACCTACATACATGTGTGACTCTGGCCCAACCGACCTCACGAGGGAATAGGTGAAATCGAGGAGGTGGGGTGCTGGAATGGGTACTGTACTCCGATGAGATCGCTTCAGCTGGGACGGATGGAGTTTGTGACGTTTGGTGACTCATTGGAGTTGTGGTGGAGTCCAGGTCTGAACACGAAGTTGAGGGATTCAAGCGAGAAGACACCCATACACCACATACACTAATACACATTGTCTAGGTATGGGCGGAACTTGAAGGGCTGTGACTTTGTGAGGGTTCGCGACATGAGGCCGGTACACCACGGCACGAACTCGACCAGTGTCAGTCAGTGTCGTTAGCCCGAATTCACAGTTCAAGCGGATGTTTATGTGCAACCTGCTGTCTTGAACATGGGTTGTAAAAGCAATTGCGGTACGGTGTTATGTAGTCTTACAAGTCATGGTACGTGGGACTGGAGGCGTGAAAGCGTATTAGCAGCACAGCGTCTTGTGGTTGTACGCTACCACTATTCCACAACGAACTTTGTGCCTGTAGTTGGGAACCGCAATTTGTCTGGCTGCGAGACCACGACATAGGTATATTTCAACCGAATATTTTGTGGTTAGAACTAGAAACGAGCCTGTGTAAAGTGGGTGATGGAAGTGGTGAGGACAAGCACGTCTACCGGAGCACGAGCGGAGCTAGAGAGACCCACAACACATCGGGCCAGCACCGGACACCCCGGCAGTTGCTGTCCGCTACTGTGACAGCGGAAGGGTCCGCTTGACTTGCTCCACACTTCGCCGTGCCGGTGTGGTGTAGGGCCGGACCGGACAACTGGAGCACCTCGACTCAAGTAATAGACCGAATCGACTGATGAGACTTGTTTTCGAGAAAACAGAAGATCTCAGCACGAACAGTAAGGCAATTGGTGGAACTGTACCTACTCATTGATACTTTGTTGTAATATCAGAGGACAAAACCCTCATTTCATAGGTAGGCAGTGGTGCAAGTGCAACAAAGATGGAGATACCGATCTGCACGGCGCCAGGCAGACCCTACGTACTTCCAGGCCACGAAATGAGGTTAAATCCAAATTTCAGGGTCCTACCTTGTGTTTCGCCTTGCATACGGCATCACCAACTTTTTTTCTCTCTCTGCTGTTGTGGTTGGGCAATGGAATGGCATGGCTGGCGATTCTCGTGATGCCGAACCCGCACCGTTCGGCAGTTGTGGTCGCGTTGGGCTGCAAAAAAAAGCGAAGGACGACAACGACGTCATCGTACATGACTACAAGTAACTAACCCTAGTTATATTTCGGTGGACTAAGCTTCTCACCGGACATCAGCAAGCGTGGAGAAGGGGAAACTTGAACCTCTTCGCAACAGACGGTGAGCTTGAAGAAAAAGGCCGATGAAATCAGTCCGATTGGAGGTTTGAAAATGGGACAAGAGTCTTGTCCACATTCGCGTCGAGATGCCTTCGGTTTGCTGGCTTTTTTTTGTTAGCCGAGCGCCGAGCTGCTGCTCAAGGGTCGGATATGCCCGATTCCGAGTGAGACATTCTCTGCGACGACCCCGAAATCCCCTCATTTACGAAGATAGAGGGACATATTCTGTGCTTGGGTCGCTCCGGAGCTTATTGATGAGTGATAGGAGCAGGAGGTTGTGGTTTGCAAAGCGGCGGCATGGATCCTCCCTGTCTGTTGTCGGGATTGCGGTGCAAGTGCTAGTGTCTGTTAGGGAACTCTCATCCACAGAGGCATGTTAGTAACAGCAACTATCAACCATATCGGTGACACCAAAAGTCCACCTTGGCTGTGATTCATAACAAGGGCAGAAAATAAGGTTGATGCTGGGCAATGCAACAATCCGGACAAGCTGCATTGTGTTTCTCTTGATCGTCTCCCGACTCAATGAGCAAAGAGTTTGTTCCGTGACAGCCGTAACGCGGATGGCTGCTTCGTAAGGCTCTTGCTTGTCAAGGACCCTGAAATTGAGCCTGATGCGCTTGGATAAGCTCCACATCGAAATAGCCTAGAGGCCAACCTTGTGTTCCCCCTCCCATGAGCTTGACCCATTTTGAGCGCTAGAGAGCGACCCTTTCGGGACTCGGAATGAGGGAAGTCGTATCGTGAACTGGCGATGATCTTGGCGCACTTTTTCATTCGGTGTGGAAGCTGTGACTGTCGGGTTGTGTTAGATGTGACGGTGCAGAATTGATTGATTGAAGAGTATGTGACTGACACCCCCAGAAGGTATAGGGGGTGTTGGGGTAACCTAGATATGCCTAGAAATCAAGCAATATCAGGTAGCTAAAGCGCTAATTTCTATATAGTATAGCTAAAACTATCTTTAAATTTAATATACCCCCTCACTTGTAGACCTTCTAAATAGGGTAAAAGTGAAGCTATTTATAGAGTTTCTCTTCTAGTACGTTAATATTTTTCCAATTAAATTGTAAATATCCTCTAGAATATTATTTGGAATTTCCTTATTTATCCTCATTTTTTTACGAGTTGGTATATTTGTTATTTCTATTAATTCTTGGAATTTTTCGTAATCCAATTGTTTTAGAACCTTTGTTAATTTACTGGCTAGTATTTTCTTCGTCCTTAGATATTTAATTTTAATCCTTCCCTCTATAATTTCCTGTTTTAATTAGTAACGATAAATATTGATATACTTCAATTTAGTTATTAGTTTCGTTGCTTTAATAATTAATATACGGATTATTCATATATTATTATAACCGATTACGGGTATATCTTTATCAAAGGGAATATTAATCTCCTTATATAGACGTATAATAGCGATAGCTTCTTTAGTGGCGTTTGAAATCGATAATAATTCTATTTTTATTATTAAGGTAGATACCGTTTTTTATTTAATTGTACTTTAATGAATTGAATTATTAAAGAGTTTAATTGTAAATTTATACAAATTCATTCGATTTAGAGAATTGTCAGCGTACGATATATTTGAAGCAATTTTGAATTTCGTTAATTTATTATATATTATAGGGCTAAGGCCCGGGCTGTGGCGCTCTGGTCATCGATTAGAGCTGTTATGAGGCGCCGTAGCTATACTTATACAGCTCCTATTAAAATTTCACATCTCCGGTAGAGCCGCCTCTTAAATAGAATTTTTTGTCTTTATAGAACTTTAATTAAATTATACGATTAATACCTATATTAACTATACTATCCCTATTATATTAGGTTCTATTATAATAGACCTAATAGAATAGGATAAGTAGCTGCTATAGTAGTAATAATAGGGCCTATTTATTTAAATAGCCGTAATTAGAATTCCCGTAGAATTTTCCGCTGCTATAGCCGCTATAGCTATAAAATAAAATAAAATTATAAAGAACGAAGCTATACGTTTCGTACAAAAGAAAGAAGATTTCGTTAGGATATTATTTACTAACGATATATTCGCTTAGATAATAAAAATAGCGTTTAATATATAATTTACTATTTACAATTAATAGAACCCCTTTAATATTAATATAATTACTATAATAACTACTATTATTCTGAGCGCTATAATTAGTACTATATAAAAAGCCGCTCCCTATTATAATTTTAAACGTAAGAATATCTATTAGCCGAAGTAGGACGGAACCCCTTCTGTATTTAATTTCTATATTATCCAATTACGCTTTATATACGAAGAAGAGAGGTTGGCGGGAATTATTACTAGTAATAAATTAAATTAATTAATATTATTAAACGCCTTGCTAGCTAATAAGATAATTAAGGTAAAAACTTTTCTACCGTAGCAGTATTAATGGTACTTAAAAACCTAAAAGTTTCTTTAATTATTTCGAATTAATTTTCGGTAATAAAAACGAAAAAAGATTAGCCCTAACCTACTTATGCACTATACGATAAAGAGAGAACTAATCCTTATTAGATTAATTCCCTACATTCGAAAAGAACTTTATAAAAATTAGAAGCCTTATTTAGGAAAATAATTCTAAATTAACCTAATTAGAAACCTCTATATTTAATACTTTTTATAATTAATTAAT